AGTCAAGTCACTATACTACTTCACAGCAGAAATAATTTCAAAAAATGAAAATCTCTCATTGCCATGTTCTACTTATTTAGAAGTAAATCAGCTCCTCCTGACTCACATCCCATTTTTGCAATGTGAAGTCCTACTTGAGTTGCTTTCTCCCCTTGAAATCCATCCCCATTACAGCCAATCCAGACAGTAGCTGCAATTACAGAGAGAGGTAGAATACAACAGCCCCTCACAGACCTGTACCTCTCAAGCCCTCATTTCCATTAAGAGTGAATATGCTTTCTTTGCATTTAAATATTCATTCCAGTTCACACAGAGTCATAAACTCCATAGGAAAATTTACTTAGTAAAAGTATACCATACATTTTGTCAAGAACTCATTTCTGGAAAACTGAGTTAATTATGCTTATTATATAACTGAGGTCTAAACAAGGTTTAAAAATGTATTTAAGAATATCTAAGTCACTCAACCTCAACCTTCTAAACCAAGGAGTAAATTGTTCATGGTTCTAGTGCTGAGTCATGGAGAAGGATGCACCTGCAAGCAGGAGGTGCTGAGTCATGGAGAGGGGTGCACCTGCAAGCAGGAGGTGCTGAGTCATGGAGATGGAGATGGGTGCACCTGCAAGCAGGAGGTGCTGAGTCATGAAGAGTGGTACACCTGCAAGCAGGAGGTGCTGAGTCACAGAGATGGGTGCACCTGGATGCAGGAGGTGCTGAGTCATGGAGATGGGAGCATCTGCTATCAGAGGTTTAGACCTATGACTCTAGTAACAACTCAGAAGAGAAAAGCCCATTCACAACTCTAGACCTCTGAGCCTCACTCTGTAAAAAAGAGAGGGCATGTATAATTCAATGATATTTAATGTGTCTTACAGGGCTATTACTCTTTTGATTCTTGGAAGCATTATTAAATTTTCAAATGCACTTGAAAGCTGTGTCTGCAGACAGAATTACAGCAGAAGAATCTAGAGTCCTCTAAAACAACAAATAAACCTGGGCTTAGTCTCATTCTGAAGCTTTTAAAGGAATTATTAAAATGTATAAAATGAATATTCTATATGCAAGTAGTCATAGTTTCAGAATTTACGTTGCCACAATTTCTAAATAAGAAAGTGCTTTCTATAGATGTTTTATGCTAACACAAAGAAATTAAACCATAAAGAAAAACTCTAGGGTACATTCCAACCATTAAATTTCATAATTCCATACTCCGATAGATGTTTTTATAGTAGAATTCATGTTCAGGAAGAGAGACAAGTTTTCCTTGTTAAATCACAATTCAGATGTAGAGAAGCTAGCATTTGTTTCCTTGGAACAAATAACACCAGAGTTGATATTTGACTGTACACACTAATTAATATTTAGGCCAAGCCTACTTCTAATGCTTTGTTAGTCTGTAGGAAATTGTCAAATATTTTACCTGTTACTTGAGGCCACCAAAAGCCAGAACAATGTGGTTCTACAGTTTCCAGTGACAATAAACAATGAACCCAAACACAGCAGAATGTGCACACTATTTGTATTATTAAATTATATGAAAATAATAGGTATAAAATTATGTGTAAGTCACAGGGATTGAAGCCAATGTAGAAAAGTCTTTAAATATTATCAGCAAATACATTAAATGACATTAATATATATGTACTTTGTAATGGGTTAGACAACACCAAATATTCAACATTAATTCAACAAATGATGCACAAAACATTTGCCCTGGTTCTAAAGCATCATTGGCAGACCTTAAAGTCACAAGTGTAGAGAAGGTGTTCACAGATCACATGACTCTATGCTTTGAATAATTTAATTCCCTTACACTGATCTGCAGATAATTGAATCTCACTCAACAGTCCAGATAGCTTCCTACATACAGACTGAAAAGCTGATTCTGAAAGTCATCATCCAGAGTGCAAAGGAGTTTGAATAGTCACACTACCTTCAAGCTGGAGACCATGAAGTCCCTAAGTTCAGGATTTCTCCAATGCTAAACAATCAGTACAGTGTGCCAGACCATGAGGCTCCCTGAAGACAACAGTTGTCCAGAAATAAATGCAAACACAAACAACAGATGTTCCTCTTTAACAAAAGACTTTATTTATTTTTATTTATATGTCCAAGTGTTCTGCCAGTACTATTGTGCACAATACTTTCAGAGGCCGGAAGAGGGCATTGGAACCCTTGGAACTGGAGTTCCAGAGGTTATGAGCTACCGTGTCAATGCTACAACCAAACCCAGGTCCTCTGTAAGATCACTGAGTGCTCTTAAATCGCAAAGCCATCTCTCCAGCTCCATAAACAACAGATTTTCAATAATTCAAGGCAATTCAGGAATGGAAATGAAATATTCAACAAAATTTTTGTAATTGCTGTGAAAGGAATGGAAACAAAATGAATTTCAACACCCTACCTCAAGCTAAACAAAAAGTTAATTTGAGATACATCATAATATGAAACATGATAGCTAAAACTATGAAGCTTGTAGAAGTCCAGAGTATCTTGGTCACAGGTATAAACAATGATTGTGGATGAGTGTGTGCATGTTCATGATCATGTGTGGGGTGCATGTGAGAGTCAGAGGACTGGGGCTGATCAGGAACATCCACAGAAATGTCTCATCTCATGATATAAAAAAAGTCACATATGATCACAGGAGTACAAATTATATCAGTACTTGGCATTGTCAAAACTCATAAAAGTGTAAGAATATTCATTTAAGTGTATATAAAACATATATCATTTTTTTAAATTGGAAATATTGTAAAGAATGTCTTATGAAAATTATTCAATCAGGAACATTGTAGAAATGAGGCATGCATAACTGTGGGCCAGGTTTTGGGGTTTGCTTTTTGTTTTGTTTGGCCTTTTCTTGTTATTCATTCAGTAATTATTGAGTAACTGTTACATGTCTTCCACTATTCTAGATGCTCTGAATTGTCTATCAACAAGAAAAACTAACAAAAGAATCAGATTTCAAGCTGCTAACAATCTGTGTGGAGAATAGAAAGAAATAGTTAAAAGAAAAAGGAAATACCATGATAAGCAATAACTAATATATAATATTGAAAACCATGAGCGTGCTGTGAGAGAGGAAAAGGCTAGCCCAAAGCAACACTGCCATCATCCTCCATCTTCCTGGCGCTATTTTTTAAGTTATGATATACCTGTACTTATGATGTACTTTTGCCTTATTAGTTTATCATGCTTTAGGGTTATGTCAGGAAATAGCATGTACACGTGAATCTTTTAAAACATGCCGATTTCCCAAGGTTGCTTTATTCCTCAACAGTCTGTAGTATTGAACATTTGCATAAAAATATATCAAAGCATCAACTGGTGTGAGTGAAAAGGTGGATCCAAGGACAGTGTTCCTTGTGCTACTAAGTCACAACTAAGTAGAGGTACCAGACAAAGAGCATCCTTTTGTCTTCATATCAAAGACAAGCCACTCTAGTGTGAGAGAATCTGACGCCCAAGCCATTAAGATGTGCTTGCACATAAAAGATGCAGTGCAGATAATTCAAACTAGACAAGAAGAATGTGCTGGAAGAATAATTCTTCTTCATGTCATAGTATCTGGCACAGACAATAAATAAATTCTCATTTTTCTCTTCCAGTGCCCTGCCATGAAGGAAGTCACAGAGCCGACTTGTTATCTGCCATTAATAGCAACTTTGTGAGGTGGCCCTTGGCTATAGAAAGACTTGTCCTCTGCATACAAGACAAAAACTTTTTACCACCAGAAATCCCCCCAACAAAGAGCAGCCACACCCGTGACTGAAGACCTTCTACAATGTGAAGTTAGCTGATGTACTAAAATAGTAAGGACGCTGTGATGTTCTGTAACTAAAAACCACACAAGAAATTGAGCAAAGCACTTGGACATTTGTTCTTAGACACTGTTCAAACATTAAGGAAGAAACAGCTTCGCAGTTGCATCCTGGGCCCTGAAACTCAGACCCATGCTGTCAGCTAGGAATCTTCCAAAACCATGCATTAGAAACCTGTTTCTGGCTTATGTGTCCTGCCTCTTGGCAAGCGCATGATTTTGCTCACATAGCCTTCTCGACTGCTCACACGTCTAGCTCCAACTCAATTTTTTTTTTCCTTGGCAAAGTCTTTCTCACTAAACAAAGTCTTCCTCAATGAACTTCTCACTGCATGACCTTTGATAACACTTTCACGATTAAGAATCACCTAAGGTTATTAACTGTCAGAAGCATCCCTCTTCAGGGTCCAGCACCAGACTGGAGGATTGAAAGCATAGGTTCTTCTTGCAGAGCCCAGTTGAAACCCAGGTGGCCTTCTCAAAACTGTTTTGTAAATTTTTGCATTCTAGAACTTACAAGTGTTATTATCAATGGTCTCCTGGCCAGTTCATAAAACCACATCTAAGATATAATATACCAGGCTGAGGACATAGGATCAACAGGACTGCTCAGGGCATCATTTTCTGAGGGAAGAGTAACATAATATGTAGCTTGAAATTTTGTTCTGTTTCTACACTCCCAATATCAATCTGATAACAAAATGTTTATGTGATCAAAAATGCTTAAATGATTACTGAGGATAAATTACCTCACCGAGTCCCATAAATTGGTCACGGCCACTACTATACCCACTGCAGCACACATCACTACTCTATACTCTCCAAGCCTCCGCTACAGCCTCAGTGAAAACTCACAGGAACTCCAGCAGCCTAGAGAGGCATAGTGGCAGGAGGTAAGCTGCGGCTGCCGTGAGGCACAGGGCACATCATTGCTTCATTTGGCTGAATGTATAGCACACGCGCTTACATAAGACAGCATTATTGACCTTCAGCTTCTCTTACACTACTCATCCTCAAAAGCATTCACTAGAGAAGGGGCTTAACAGTAAACAGAAAGAAAAGAAAATGACTCATAGATCTACATCTTTGATCTGCAAGGCCATCAATAAAATTATGGAAATAAGTACTGTGAAACAAAGGTGGTCTTAAAAGTCAAGCTAAAGCTAGCTACTCTTACCTCTCAGTTCCCCCAGATCCAGCGATGTTCCAAGCTGCTCTAGCAAGGCAACCCGTGCTGCGTTCTTTTTGTGTTTCTTGCCTTCATAATGCTGCTGGGCCATCAGAGGATTATTAAACCAGGCTGCACAGAGGCCACAGTATCTGTCTGAGTCTCTCCTTTGATAGGGAGATGCGACCACAGGAGCCGTGTCCACCCGAGGGGCCTTAAGTGAACTCAGGGGTGTTGCTGTGGGAGAAAGCAACAGTATGTCAGTGCATGCCTGGGCACCCTTCCTGTAAGTATTGACGAATACTGTCATATCCATGTATCATGATGCCATATCATGAGCATCCCACGCTCATGATAGTGGCGGCTTTCTCAAGACTAGGAAATCACCTTTGCCACCCATCATTTTGAGTAGGGTACAAACGAGAGTCTCTACAGCACTGAGATCAGAGTTTGGATGGTTTTTTCTTCAAAGCTAAAGAGATGGTCTTTGGTGGGAAAAACAGTTTTAAGTTAAAGTCTTGAAGGAATGTTCTGTCAGTCACCTTGACGTACAATCAAGACTAAAAGGCTTAGAGTGATTCAACTGGTGCTAACATTGAAACACAATAAACAGAAGCACTGGCTAGCTGACTTGCATGGTACCAACTAAGGAAACCACGCTACAAGTGTCGGATTTTTATTGGAATGGGCTATTTCAGCCCACATCTGCTAACACTGACGTTGAAAGCACAATTTCTCTCCCAGAAGACCAGACGAGACGCTCTCCTGAGCAGAGGTTGCTTATCTGAGCTGAAAGGGCACACATCACTATTTTGAGATTGTACTCCTAGCTACTAATTTAACACATCCCATTGTGAGTTTAGTTATTTCTGGCCCAGGGAAAGAATAGAATTGAACTTGAAAGAGTTTACTAATGGAAAGTAAAAATAACTTCTGTACGCTTTCAACATACAAATTGCTTCTCTCCTAACAATGAGTGCGCCTGGAGTTACTGCCCTGTTTCTCAGATGATTGACTTCAAAGACAGCGAGGGGCGTGCTGTAAAGGTGAGGGATGTAGTTATAATGCACGGCACAGAACCAAATACTTAAGCTCCAAGGCCAGAGCTCCTTCTCAGACCCCCAAGAACCCCTTTCATGCTTAGTAAACCAGGAGGCCACCTCTTTGTTTTTATACAGGATTGCACTGCATTGTAGAAAAAAAGATTTCAATCCAAGTATTTTGGAGGAAGAAACTGGTATTCAGTCTCATTGGCTTATTAGCCATAAGCAATTTAACAGCTTCTTCCACGTGTCCCTAATCTCCATGAGAAGGATTTGTAGTTGACAAAATTGTGACAATCAGGGTATTCTTCCAAGGAAAAGCAACAGCTTGGGACATCAAAGACAAATTAAAGAACCAATTAATCAACTCCTCAAGCTTCCAAGTTTTTATGGGGGACCTTTAATGTTTGAGTTAAGTGACTGATGAGCAACAACATACTTGCTATATGACATTTCCATCCATGCAGTACAGCATCGTGACAGTGTCTCAGGCAGACTTCCTTTTTATTCTGAGTGCTCATCATAGTTGTAGCTAAGATTAAACTAAATGGGCCGACGTGTGGAGGAACTCTGATACATTTAATGTTTTTTAAAAGCCTCCCTGCTGAATTTGGTCAGCTGGAACCATACAGAAATGAAGCTCAAATGTGGGCCATATGTCTCGGTTGCCATCTGGTATCATTCCATCATGACTTAGCAACACTAATGAAAGCCACAAATATGCAGTCGACCTGTCTATGAAAAAATATCTGTCTCCTATCGCAAGGAAATTGCACCTTACTTCCAAAGTTTCCTGCATCCTTATCGGTTTCTGAAGATACACAGATACACGGCAATGGGAAACACATCAAACATCTGCAGTCAGAATGAACACTGACTCCTGAAGCACGATTGTTTTTCTTTGAACTCTAGAAGGGATTTCACGGTCATTCTTGTTACTTGATACCTGCTAGTCCACATCTGGACAGGAACGGCACATGAGAAATAATCTATCAAATAGATAGCCCCTCTGGCACACAGGAAAGCCATTGCTCTTCTCTTTGTGTTATAGCTTGTACTCCCCCAAGTTCCAAAAGTTTAACTTTCTCTTTGGTCTCGTTTTCCATCCCTCTCCCCATCTCCAGCCAGTTTCCATTCCTGTAAGGCCTATGGAGGCAAGTAAAGGGCACAGCATGGAAACAGCCTTGAATCAAAGTCATATCCCTGTCAGGGCTTCAGCACCACTGGACTGTGTGACTCCCGATTCCTGATTCTCTGGTTTCCACAAAGCTACCTACCAGGGTGTAAGCTAGCACATTTGTGCTTACAGGCTCTCCAGGTGGGAATGGGGCAGGCTGCAGAATTACTTCCGTTTTTACAGCTTTGACCTAATGCCAAATATAGAAATTATATAGGAGGAGCGCAGTCTCTCAGTTTTAGTAAAATATGTGTGTGCATGGATCGTACCACAGTGCTTGGCCAAAGTGTGCTTTTCTAACCAAATGAATACAAAGAGGAATACTGATTATCTTTCATTGAAAAAAAAAAACTCTTTAGTTAATATGTAATTTTAATTTCACACTTTTTGTATTCTTTCTAATTGTAAGAAAATATACAATATGAATTTCACCTACCCTTTTAAAATTTAAATCCAGAAACATTAGCTACTTAAAACCACTTAAAACACTTCAGAATAGCTGGGGATATGAACCAAGTCCAAGGATATTCTCATACACACCCCCATTCTAACACTGGTTCATGTTCCCAATGTTCATTCAGTGTTGAGAACCATAGCCCTAAGTACTGCCATATTATCCTTAAAAATTACCATAAAATAGCAGGAGGTGGTGGTGGTGGTGGCGGCGGCGGCAGCGGCAGCGCACGCCTTTAATCCCAGCACTCAGGTGGCAGAGGCCAGTGGATCTCTGAGTTTGAGGCCAGCCTGGTCTACAGAGTGAGTTCCAGGACAGCCAGAGCTACACAGAAAAGCCCCGTCTTGAACAAACAATCCCTCCCAAAACTACCATCAATCGTTTTGGATCACCGTGAAAAAGACAGCCTCGTAACATATGCACCCGCAACAAAGAAAAAAGCTGTCATATCTGTTTCCATTTTATGAATGGAAACTCATAAAATAGTAGCTAATATTATACATTAATATTGCTAAAGTTAAATAGCAATTTTGATTGCTTTCCCAAGGAGACACTTTGATAGTAGGAAGTTGTTGTGATCAACCGCCGTCAAGTGACTCTGACCAGTCGGCGTGTGGCACCTGGCTATATTCTTCCTATTGCTACACTGTCCTACGGGATGCTCCTCAATTCATCTACTCAAGGAGGCCCTGACAACCTAAGAGTGACCGCCTGTTCCTTCCTCTAAACTTACAAGCGTTCCTTCACCATGCCATTCACTCGGCATTTCTTAAAACCACTTTCAATCTTGGTAATCGTATAAATGTGTGTTTGTGGATGTGTGGAAGGGAAATGAGATGATAAATTTTTACAGATACATTTGTGTTCGTTGTCTTATCTAGTTTATACCCATAATTCCTTGTTGCAATTCAAAAATTAGAAAAAAAATATAAAAACTCTAGTTTCATTTATTACAAGAACTTGGCCTGAAGTCATGCGATGGTATTTATAGGCTATATACCACTTAGTGTGAAGCATACTGGATGGGATTATTAATCGTTTCCCCCAAGTTAATATACGCATGTCATGTGGTGCATGTATCAGTATATGTGTTGGTTAGTTTTTTTGTTTTTTTGTTTGTTTGTTTGTTTTTTTTTTTTTTTTTTTTTTTGGCTTTTCAAGACAGGGTTTCTCTGTGTAGCTTTGCACCTTTCCTAGAACTCGCTTTGTTGACAAGGCTGGCCTCGAACTCACAGAGATCCACCTGGCTCTGCCTCCTGAGTGCTGGGATTAAAGGCATGCGCCACCACCACCCAGCATTGGTTAGTTTTTATTGACAACTTGATACAAACTAGAGTCACTTAGAGAGGGAACCTGAGTTGAGGAATTGCCTCCATCAGTTTGGCCTGTGGGCATGTCTGTGGGAAATTTCCTTCATTGTTAATTGATGTTGGAGGGCCCAGTCCACAGAGGGCAATGCCACCTCTAGGCAGGTGGACCAGCGTTGTGTAACAAAGGTAGCTCAGCAAGCTATGGAGAGGAAGTCAGTACGCATTGTTCCTCCTTGGTTTCTTCTTCAGGCTCCTACCTTGGATTTCCTCAATGAAGAACAGTCATCTGTAAGCTGAAATACACCCTTTCTTCCCCAGGTTGCTTTCATCACCACAATAAGCAGTAAACTGGGGCAGTCCACGTTCAAAATCCTGAATTTTCTCAGTTTCAAAACACATGCAGCCTCAATGTTTTGACCAGAAGGTCATGGATTTGCAACCAGTGAAAAGTAACCCACGGAGACCCCAGTTTCTCTAAGAATTCCAACAGCCGGGACACAGCATCCCTCAAAACTTGACTTAGAAGAGTCACGGCCCTACGCACATTTTATATCCCTTCTGCATACCTTAAACAAAGTGTGCCAGGGAACAGCATCTCAACGGAAAGTTTTTAGATGAGCTGTCTCGAATAATAACCTGGAATAATGTGCACCTTTGACCCCTGTCTGTGTTTTCTGATTCGAGGACAAAAAATGCTTTCAATATCTGCACTGCTGACAAAATAATGCTTTACTCTGCAGCAAGGTGTTGCTTGCAACCCACCTCTGCATGAGTGGTAAGCAGCTAACAGAGTGCAATCCATATCTTTCATTGAATGATTGAGGCAACTCATTAATCAATGCGTAAATAAGTGGTCATCGTTATAAGCAAGTACATGTAGATGGAAGCAAAAACTTTCCTTTTGCTTCTAAATTGTGTCATGAAGGCTTGAGGAACTCAGTGTCATGACAGTCAGTGTCAATATAAGCAAGGGTGTGTGTGACAAGCTGTTGGGGGGGGAGGACTTGACGGCTAAGCAGCTTGCCAAAGTATGGATGCACACCCCAGGTTTCCTTTTTCTTTCAAACTAAATTAGGTAAGTGGAAATCCACTATTCCCTAATTTCCATCCTTTTTTGTGGAGTGGCCTAATGTATATTTCAGAGACTGCAAATTGTGCACACCATTCTAAAAGCTTTACTTTCAAGCAGGAAGTTGTGTCTATCTTGGCATCTGAACTCTCCTTCTCTCTGGTTTCTGTTATGGTACTGTGAT